GAGATGATATATGATGGAATGAATGTAAAACTAAAGTTCTCCCATGTAAACTATCATATAATTCTCAATAAAACATTAAAAAAAATTTAAGAGAAAAAAAACAACAACACATAGAAGGTGAAGTTAGGACTCATAACAGGCAAGTAGTGTCTCAAACTCTGTATACACAAAAATAGGTGTTGGAAACCTAACTCCATACCTATTCCCATTTAGGAATAGAATTGTCTTTGTTGTATTAATGAGACCATTATCAGTATAGAGCGTGTCTTAAACCTCATCACTTTTTTTTTATTGGAATATGCACATACCAAGACACATACCACATCAATGTCAACTTCAGTGACATTGATTACATGCTTCCAGTTGTGCACTCATTTTCTAAACGACCACACCATTATCAAATTCCTACAATACACTCCAAGCAAAAACCTTCTGTTTCCCTTTTCCCTCCCACTCCTGGTAACATTAATTACTTTTGGTTTCTATATATTTTCATATTGAATATAAGTGATATGTAGTATTTGCCCTTTTGCGTCTGACTTACTTCATTCTGCAGAATGTCCTCAAGGTTCATCCATGTTGGGGTATGTGCCAGGATTTCATCCCTCTTTATGGCTGTGTTATATTCCATTGTATATATTTACCACAGTCTGCTTATTCATTCATCAGTTGTTTCCACCTGTTGCAATGGACACTGTTGTTAAGTTCCGTCGAGTCGGTTCCGACCCATAGCGACCCTGTACAGGGTTTCCAAGGCTGTAAATCTTTAAGGGAGCAGAAAGCCTCGTCTTTCTCCCGCGGAACAGCTGGTAGTTTCGAACTGCTAACCTGGCGGTTTGCAGCCCGATTCGTAACCACTAGTGTACATATATTTGTTCACAACCTAACCATTTTTGAGATTAGGCACAGAGACAAACAAGCAGTCAGAGGGGGAGATTAGATGCCACACGGAGATTGCCAAGGACTCCAGGGACATAGAAGCTACAGAAACTGAAAGTGACCTGCCCCCACGCTATCAGAGAGAGAACCTTCCCCTACAGCCAGTAGGCTGAACTCAGACTTCTAGTCTCCTGAACTTGGAGAAAATAACTTTCTGTTCTTTAAAGTCACCCACTTAACGTACTTCTGTTACAGCTGCACTAGAAAACAAAGATGGCTGAAAACACCTGAACGTTATGATTAATGGTGGTTGGTGGTGTGCTGTGGAGTTGGTTCTGACTCATAGCAACCCTGTATAAGGGTTTCCAAGGCTGTAAATCTTTATGGGAACAGAAAGCCTCATCTTTATCCTGTAGAACGACTGGTAGTTTCAAACTGCTAACCTTGCAGTTAGCAGTCTGACTTGTAATTGCTATGCTACCAGAGCTCCTTATTTTGATTAATAGTATTTAAAAAAACAAGAAAGAAATGCAGCAAGTGGTACCCAAATGAAAATCTCAAACCTGAATCTCATCAAGCCTCTAGAGCTAATGACCACATTATGAAATTATAGAGGACATAAGTATACGTAGAGGGACCCCAGGGGATGCAAAAGTCAGTGTCTAAGTGGAGGGAACCTGCAGAAAAATGATCCAATCTTTTCAACAAACAAATGCTTAAATTTTTTTTTAATATGAGGGAGAGAAAAGAGAAAAGGGAACTCTAGTGAAATATAAGGGACTTTAGAGGAATCTGTGTCAAGTGCAGTATACAGATTTTGGATGCCTAATGGAACAAATCACCTGTAAAATAGTATTTATACATGACCACTTGAGCTCTGACTGCATGCAGTGAGTGGAATAGAACATCTTCAATGAATGCTGAGTCAGTATAGAAATAAATTACCATTTGCTCCTATTGTATACTAAATACAAAAATCCATCTTAAAAATGCTTGAGTAAAAAAAAAAAAAAGCTTGAGTAACAAGAAAAAAAGTCTACTTCATATAACTGAATGTAAATGGAGTGACTCTTTCTGGAAGAAAGCATAGGAAAATATCTTTTAAGATCTTGAGATATACAAAGATTTCTTAAATTTGAATCAAAGTGCTCACCATAAAGAGAAAAATGATATATTAAAATGAAATCTTTCTGTCTATCAAAAAACACACTGTTGTTGTTAAATGCCATCGAGTCGATTCCGACCCATAGTGACCCTGCATAGGGTTTCCAAGGAGCAGCTAGTGAGCTTGAACCACTGACCTTACAGTTCAAACGACTTTACAGTCTGACGCATTAACTCACAGCACCACACCAGGACTCCAAAAGACACATTAGGAAAGTGAAAAGGTAAGTCACAGTGATAGAAGAGATTTTTAACACATATTTTACCCAGAAACTCGTATCTAGAATACCCAATGGACTTCTATAAATTAATAACAAAGACACGGACAACAAAAAAATGGACAAAAGATTTTAATAAGTATTTTCCAAAAGAATTGATAAATGTTCATCAACAATAAACAAACAAAGCCCACAGCCACTGATTCAATTCTGGCTCATAGTGATCCTATAGGATAGAAAATGGTATATTAAAATGAAATTTTTGTTTATCAAAAGACACATTGTTGTTGTTGTGAAGTGCCTTTGAGTCGATTCCGACCCATAGCGACCCTGTATAGGTCGTATAGGTTTCCTATACATATATATACATACATATATATACACACATAAACCCTGTATAGTTTTCCTATACATATGCCCCATATGGTTTCTAAGTCTTTAAAGAAGCAGACTGCTACATTTTTCTCCTTTGGTTTGGTTAGTGAGTTCAGTCAACTTTTCAATTAGCAGGCAAACCCTTAATCACTATGCCATGAACAATGCTGTTGTTTTTAGGTACCATTGCCACAATGCCAACTCATAGTGATCCTAGGCACAATAGGAAACACTCCCAGTCCTGCACCATCCTCCTAACTGTTGCTATGTTTGACTCCATGGTTGACACCACTGTGTCAATCACTTCATTGAGTGTCTTCCTCTTATTAGCCAGTGAAAGTCCCCAAATCCTTGTTCTATCCACATCATTAAGGTCAACTCTACTTTGAGAGACCGGCTCTTCCCCACTCATTTTTAATGCCTTCCAACCTGAGGGGTTCATCCTTCAGCATAGTTGAACAATGCTCCACTGTTATTCATAAGGTTCTCAGCGGCTAACCTTTCAGAAGTGATCTACCTCTCCTTCCTAGTGTGTCTTAGTCTGGAAACTCCACTGAAATCTGGCCACCATGGGTGACCTGCCAGTTTTTAAAATACCAACGGCATAGCTTCCAGCATCACAGCAACACATAAGCCACCACAGTGTGACACACTGATAGATGAGTGGTCAGTTTGTTATACAATCAACAATTGTTGTTGTTGTTATGTGCTGTGGAGTTGGTTCCAACTCATAGCAACCTAGTATAGGGTTTCCACAGCTGTAAATCTTTACAGGAGCAGAAAGCCTCATCTTTCTCCCACGGAACAGCTGGTAGTTTTAAACTGCTGACCCTGAGGTTAGCAGCCCGATTTGTAACCACTATGCTACCAAAGCTCCTATAATCAACAATAGGACAAATAAATAATCATACTCAGTGAAATAGAAATGAGGAACTATTAATTGCATCAAAATACACAGATTTATCTCAAAGATATGTTGAAGGGAAGTGGTAGTCAAAACCAAAAATTGTCAATAAACTTATGAAAAGGTTGTTGCCTTCATTAATCATGAATAAAATGCAAATTAAAACAAAAATTAGCTGTTCCAAAAGAAGCCAGTGCTTCTATTTATGTGAAACTCTGGTGACAGAAAACAAATCAAAGGTAACCTTGGACAATGGGGTTACCTTGGACTGGGATGAGGCAAAATAAAACTTTGGGGGTTTTTAGAAATGTCCACTAACTTCCTTTTGGTGGTGAGTTTATAATTTGCCAACATTCATCAAGTGTGCAATTAAGATGGGTGCATTTTATTGTATGTAGTGCAACTATACCTCAGGAAAGTTGGTTTCTAAAAGCACAATGATGCACCACTACATTCTCACCAGAACAGTTAAAACGAAAATTACCAAGGACTGGCGAGGATATAGCGGCCCTGGTGGTGCAATGACTAAAGCACTCACTCAATGGAATTTCAATAAAAATGTAAAACTTTTCATTGCGTCCAACAACAGATTAACCTCAAAGATATTGCTCTAGCCAAACACAAGAGTACATATTGTGTTATGGCACATTCCACAGTTCCTAACAAAACTAATCTATTGTATTAAAATCAGTAACCAACTAAAAGTGGATGAACTTGACCTATGCGTGTATAAAACATCCTTATCTCTTAGAGATAAATACTAAATTATTCAGACTAAATAAGAAGGGACTTCAAAAAGTGGAAACATGAAATTGAAAGATACTGGAATTTTCCCACCAATTTTTTGAAAACCCCCTTGTTTTATGATGTCGGAGTTGCTTCAGAACAATTCTGCTCGGTGGGGAGGAATTATTGTTGAAAATAGCTAATGGTTCATTTTCCTATTCTTTTCGTTTTTTTAAATGTTCAAATTGAAAAAGAACACAGTGCTTTTAATCATAGAATTTCAAGCCACACACTCAACACCTGACCTCTGTTTCTTCCACAACTAGCACTACAGAGGGACGTAATGAGGAACTAATGAAACATTGGAAGAAAAATGCTTTAAGAAATGCTGCTGTATTAATACTTACTATTATTACTATAGTTGCCAACACTAATTTGCCGCTTCCATAGCTTCCTTGCTCCCCTCACTACAACAGCTTATTTTACACTTCCTCTGTTCTTTCCAATGGTTCCTTCCTCCTGTTTCCCGCACTCTGCCGCTCTCCCCCCCATTTAGGGTCCGAATGGTTTGGCCCGGCTTCCCCAGGGGAAACCCCACGGGGCGGAGCAAGCCGTAACTGCTGGTGTTCGCGTTCGCTTCCCCCGAGACCACTTGGATCGCTCTGCATTGGGGGTGGGCCGGTATTCGTGGGGCAGGGCGCGATTCCCAGGCACCGATTGGTCGAAACCCAAATAAACATCCGGCAAGGTGGGGAGGGGCCGGAAGTGGAAGAAGGAGGCGGCTAAGGCGGTTCGAGAGGTTGAGCGCTCGTAGTGGGTGCCAGTGGGTGCTATGGGCTGGGGCGAGGCGCGCTGAGGGGCACGCGGGGTGCTGAAGGGGACGTGGGGTTGGGCTATGGCCGGCGCTCGGGCTGCCGCCGCCGCCTCGGCAGGGTCCTCGGCCTCTTCTGGCAACCCGCCGCCTCAGGAGCCAGGACTCGGGGAGCTGCTGGAAGAGTTCTCCCGAACTCAGTACCGGGCCAAGGATGGGAGCGGAACGGGGGGCACCAAGGTGAGCCCGGGAGCGAGCTGAGTAGTAGGAAGTGGCCCTGACTTCGGGAGTTAACGGAGAAAAGGCAGAGCAGGGCAGGAATGGTGCGCACTCGCGTGCGCTGAGGAAGAGGAGAGTTTTTGCCCGGATCTGGACGCGGAGAGCAAGGGTCGTGTTTTTATACATATCAGGAGGAGGAATTCGAGTCAGAATGATACGAGGAAGACGATCCTTTTGGTTTGAAACAAGGTGTTTGGGGGGTTAAGTGTCAGCGCTGAGGGGCCAGGTTCAAAGGTTATAGAGGAGGAGCTGAGGAAGGCTAGTCCTCTGGGTCAGGTGCCTAGGTAGGGGAGGGTGTTGAGCGCAAAGCTTCCAGATCTAAATAAAAACGGAGAGGATTTCTTAGGTTCTGAGGCTGGGATGGTGAGGCAGAACTTAGGCTTGTTCTTTCCTCTCTCTATAATACAGGAAGACGGCGTGCACACTCTCAGTTTTATCAGAAGCTGGTGTCGGTACCTCTCTCCTCCTCTCCACCCCCTTGAGGCTTCCCTGGGCCTTATTGCCAGACCTGGACGGCTGCCTTGTCTGGTCAGGCTATTCCCAACCTAGGCACTGCCTGGCAGTGCTGGGTAGCTTGCTGACCCTGCCTTCTCTTGTGCACGTGGTTTTGACATCAGGTTTTCCAGTGGGATTCGGTTCCATCCTAGGCCACCAAACTCAGGTTTTGCTCCAAAGGCTGGGACTGCAGTTGTCATATGCCAGTCTCTGGATAACTCAGAAGATTTTGTTGACAGTTGGACTACTCTCCAAATAAGCAAGCAGTTTTCAGAGTGTAGTTGGAAGACCACCTGTTCTGGAATGAATTTGGCTACTTCTTAAAGATGACTTGGCCCTATCCTAGTTCTACAGAGTCACAATTTCTGGGATGGGAACTTGGAATCTCGATTTCGTAATTGGCTTCATGATGCTCATACACCTTTAAATGTGAGAATTTCTAGTGTGAGCCAGTGGTTTTCTGTTCTGTCTCCATTGTTTTTCCATTATTGAGTGCTTTTTAAGTACACAGGTCTTTTAAGTGGCTGTGGGAGGTCATTGGTTTAGTTGAACTTCACTTCCCGTTTCACAGGCCCTGAAAATGAGGACTGTCATTAAGTTAGGTCTGACTGGCCTCGGTGCCTCTCCAGGTGCCACTCTGAGTATGAACTTAGGTTCTCTGATCTCTTGCAAGCTTTTCAAAATTGTTACAAGCCTTTACATTTTTTTTTACTTAACCTTTCCCTGACTGTGAACAAAATTATTTTCAGGGGAGCTGTTCTGTTTTTTAAGTAGATTGTGTGAGGAGACCGCATTGGCAGCAGCTTGTTATCATTGCACTGATGAGGGCTTCTGGGTCCTAGTCTGAGCTGGAGAATGTGGAGCAATCTGGAGCCAAGGCAAGATGAGTTAGTACCAAGTAAAGTAACCTACAGCAAAAGTTCTTACTATTTCATGGATTGTGGATCCTTTTGAGTGTCTAATGAAAGCTATAATATTCTTACTCCAATAGTTATGTCGTGTTGAGGGGTTCAGAGTACCCCCCTCAAATGCCAGGCACCACATAAGGGTTAAAGCACTGAATGTTTAGTGCCAGCAACATGCTTCCTGCTAGTGTTAAGCATAAGCACAGAGGCACATGGCATTTCCTGGGTCATATTCAGATCATGGGCCACCTCATTGTCACACTGAGTACCTCAGGATCATCCCTTCTTATTCAGGTCTCCTTTTCCACACAGGTTGAGCGCATTGAGAAGAGGTGTCTGGAGCTGTTTGGTCGAGATTACTGCTACAGCGTGATCCAAAACGTGAATGGGGAGATCTGTGGCCACTACCCCCGGCACATCGTGTTCCTGGAGTATGAGAGTTCCGAGAAGGAGAAAGACACGTAAGTATCATGTGACTGCAGTGTACCTGCCTCGGGAGGTCCTGACACTCTTCCCAGAGAGTCCTAACTGCAGCTGGGCAAGAGCTGGGCCAGGCAGACTCATGTTCCCCAAGTGTTAAGCCTTATTGGCATCTTTACTTAAGTGTTAGATGAGTTACATAGGCCAGGTAGCAAATTGTAGAATGAAGGCTTTGGACACACAGCCCAGGATTTCTGTCTCCACTCTACCCCAGAGTTCAGTGTCTACACATTTGACCCCACACCTCACCTCTCTGAACCTCAGTATCCTTGGGGCAATGGGCAGGGAGGACTGTGAAGGGGAGTATGCTTTGTCAAGACACAAGAGCGTGGACCATTGTAGCATTTAAGATTTGGAGGTCTTAAGCCACACTATGTGAGTTGGCATCTTGACTATCCCTCTTTCTTGCTGGTTGATAATCAGCCTTGGGCTTATTATTGAACCTCATTGTTCCTTATTCATCTCATTAGCAAGTCTCTACCTTGTGTGGGTCTTGTAAGGACAAATTGAAGTCCAGGCGGAGTAACTGGTGATAAATGGAGCTAATACAAGCCTGGTGTGGTTGCTGTAGGACTTAGAAATAAATCGCCGTTTATTGGGAGCCTGCCAAGGACTATGTTCCACTGTGAAATAAGTTGATACCAGAGGAGATATAAAGCACATGGTCCAAAGCCCACTGCCTCTGGTCGATTCCTCTAGGAGAGCAACCCTATAGGAGAGTAGAACTCCTTATGGGAGCAGACAGTCTCAGTCTTTCTCCCACAGAGCAGCTGGTGGGTTTTAACTGCCAACCTTTCAGTTCTCAGCCCAATGCTTAACCCTTACCTAGCCAGTTGTAGTTGTTATGTGCCATCAAGTTGCGTCCAACTCATAGCAACCTACATAGAGTTTCTGAGGCTGTACATCTGTATAGGAGCAGAAAGCCATTCAAACTGCTCACCTTGTGCTTAGCAGCCCAACTCATAACCTACTACACTACCAAGGTTTGTCTTAACTAGCCTATAGGTAGTAAATGGTAACAGCTGTTTGATATTAACAGTAATCACAAAAAGCAGTGAGGGTCCAGAAAATGCTGTTTGTTGGTCTTAAAGTTGATTCCCCTAATCTGTCTGTTGATGGCTAGCTTCAAGAGGATTCCAGCAGCTGTGGACCATAAATGTAAGTGTAGCCCTGTGGTATGCAGTTGTGATGAGTACTGTGGTAGGTAGAGTTATGATTCATTCCATCCCTTACAGAGAAAACCTAATAATTGAGCACTAGTTTTTTGCCAGAGCTCAACGCATAGCCATCAGGGCACCCCTGAATTGTTACAAACATAGCATTTTAGATGCCATTGGAAGCAGATACAGGTGATTCAGATGCATTAATACTTAAGCACAGCTGTAGGCAGGCTGGACTCATGGTTCATCCTATCTGATGTACAGGTGTTTAGGAGACTGCAAACTAGAGAGGCCTTAGCTAGGCTTGGAAGAATAAGAGTTTCCCTGAAATGTCCTTAGGGATCAACTGTCAGTCTTGATGATAGGGCTAAGGAGTGTTGACAAGTGAATTGTAGGTGGGCTTTAGGAGTGACTTTATCCCCTGAGGATTCATTAAAATGATAAGATTCTAGGGTATTTTTAAGGCCCTCTGACTCAGTCACCATTCTCAGAGAGCTCCCAAGATAAGTCTTAACTGCTGAGGCCTGAGAACCACCTCAGACAGAGAGAGGGGGCTTTCAAGCAGAAGTGCAACCAGGTCAGAGGAGTTCAATGAGTAAGTTTTCTCATCTCTAAAATGGGACTGTTTAGAAGAATACCCTTCTCTGATACAAGATACTTTTGGAGTCCATTGAGAAAATCAATGTATTGAGGACTCTTGAGTGTAGGTTAAAGAAATTTTGTCATGTCCTCAGTTGTACAAGGGGGTATCAAAAAATTTATGGGAAAAATTAAATGAAAAGATAATAGAATTTTTCTAGAAGCTTTTTTTGCATGTGTGAATTGAGTGAAGGTTCAGACAAAATCATGGGTTTTACATTCAACAAATTACATTATTTCATCTCAGTGATTGCAATCCCCTCCATGCAACACCAGTTGTCTCACTTCCTCTCTGTGCTTCCCCATTTAAAATATCTTTTCAAACTCATATATATATTTGTGAGATATATAAATATATATATATATATATCCTACTCCTCCTTCCATACCCATTCAACCTGTTTCTGTCATGTATCTACACACAAAACGTGTGTTCCAAGGCTGTTCCGTGAACTTTTTAAAGTCTCATATAACTGTAGAAATCTCCAAATCTAAAGAATTGGACTTTATTATAACCCAGTTTATGGTTTTTGTAGCATAGTGGTTATGAATCGGGCTATGAACTGCAAGATCAGCAGTTTGAAACTACCAGCTGTTCTGCGGGAGAAAGATGAGGCTTTCTGCTCCCGTAAAGATTTACAGCCTCGGAAACCCTGTACTGGGTCGCTATGAGTCGGAACCGACTCCACGGCACACAGCCACCACCATCTCTTTCTCTGAGCTCTGAAAATACATTCGCTAAATCCTAAAACTAATATTTTTCAGCACAAGCTCTTCCTCTTCCTCCCATCCCACGTTCTTCAGAGCTGGCTGTTGGTTTCTTCCTCTTTGTTGCTATCTCAATCTGATAGTAAGCTCAGTCAAGGTAGTGCACCCTGGTGACTGATGAATCACCTAGGATTTTGTTTAACTACAGAATCTGGCATGGTAGATTTGGAGCTAGAGACTGCATTTTCCAGCAAGCTCCCAGGTGATGCCAACTTGTCCTCTGAGTGACCATACAAAGGAACTCAGTCTTGGTTGCCACCTGGCTTTTCCTGGAATGAAATTAGTTCAGTGCTGATACAGTGTAGCCCCTAAAGAGAAAAAAACCTAGCATTTGTTGAGTGCTTACTTTCTGCCACATGGTAGGGATTTCACATAACCGTAGCTCACTTTAGTCCTGCAACTACCCAGTGAAAAAGATGGTTTATCCACATTTACAGTTAAGTTGAGACTCGGTAGCAATTTGCCTTTGCCCAAGACCACAGCTATGTGGATTGGAGATCTTCTTACCTCAATTGTACCCACTTGTTTAACTTTTCATCTTTTACTACTAGTGAGACCTTGAATTGTAGTATTGAAGGGCTATTGAATGGGCATGCCTATTCATTGAAGGGAAGGGAGAATGTGTGTTTGAATGGGAAGAAATTTGATTTTCTATTTCCTTCCACATCTGGCTTTGTTATCCATATGACACTAAGTAGACTGCTGTAAACTTTAGAACTAGATTTGGGTCTGTTAGCCCATCGCCCCAATTCAGCCTACCAGCCGGAAGTATAAACCTAAACAGGAATATCTGAACAGCCAAATCATGATCAGACATCAACGATACAGTTGGAAGCCCAACAGATGAATTCCGTATCCTTAGTTATTTAATGGTCTGCGTTATGCATTAAAAACTATGTATTGATAAGGATTGGTTGGAATTGGTAGAAGTACAGGTGAGGCAAAAGAGATAGTGGTTTCGGCCTTGGGCTCCAGGGGCCACCCAGCAGGATTTAGAATCCCATCTCCCCTACGGCCCTGGGAACTTGGGCCAGTGATTTCATCTCACTAAGCCTCAGATTCTTCATCCATAAAATGGGACTAATGAGAACTAATGGAGATAATGCAGGTGTAAGCACTATACTGTTCCTGATGGGAATTGAATACTAGCAGCAGGCACATTCATTTCAGTTTAGGACAATGGTGGGAGCAGCTATCTAGTTTGTGGAGTAGCCTGGGTAAACTTCCACTGGAAGTTATGTGAAAACAGCATTTTCTTTGTGTGAAAATAGCTTTACTTGTGTTGAAACAATAGTCATGAAAAGTCACTCACATACAGTTGTTATTGGTGTTATGTGATGTGTTGACTCATAGTGACCCTGTACAGGGTTTCCAAGGCTATAAATCTTTACGGGAGCAGAAGGCCTCATCTTTCTCCCGAGGAACAGCTGGTAGTTTCAAACTGCTGACCTTGTGGTTTGCAGCCCGATTCATAACCACTATGCTACCACAGCTCCTTCAAATACAATTAAATACATTTTTTTTAATCTCACTACCTGGTAACATCTTGCTAGAAACTTGAGTGCGTATATTACAAACACAAATAAGACTGTGTTTACTCATTATAATAATCATTTGCCAACGCAGCTAATACTTAGTTGCTGTTGCTGTGTGCTGTTGAGTTGGTTCCAATGCATAGCAACCCTGTAAATCTTGACAGGAAAAAAAAAAAAAAAATCTTTACAGGAGCAGAAAGCCTCATCTTTCTCCCACCGAGTGGCTGGTGGATTTAAATTGCTTACCCACTATGCTACCAGAGCTCCTTTAATGTTTTCTTGTTAAGTGCCACTGAGTCAGTTCTGACTCATAGTGACCCTGTATAGATAGGGTTTCCAAGGAGCAGCTGGTGGGTTTGAACCGCCAATGACATTGTGGTTAGCAGTCCAGTGCTTATCCTGCAGTGCCACAGTACTGTGATTAAAAAAAAAAAAAATCCTAGGGAAGAGAGTGAATAAAATTAACAGGAAACAAGAAAAAAGAGAAACTGAATTGGTTCCTGGGTGGGGGAATCAGTACAGTAAACCACTGACTAGACTAACAAAGGCGTCCTGGTATGGTGATGTAAGACAAAGAATTGGACCAAAAGGTCAGTTTGAAATGAAAGGTTGGTGGTTCAAACGCGCCAGTCGCTCTTTGGAAACCCTATACATGGTCACTATGAGTTGGAACTGGCACTCAACAAGCCTACCAATAAAAGTTGTGCCTCTCCATTAAAAACCTAGAGACCCTGAGAGGGAACTAGCTACAATGGTTTTATGGATCATGTTTACTGACTGCAAGGACTTTCACGGTGTTTAGAGCTCTGTGGCAGCTGCTGAGCGGAGGAGCCAAGTTAGCTGAGTTGAGACAGACTGTGTGGATCAAAATCTGTGTAAATGGCCTGGGGTCACTCACCTCACACTGAAGGAAGGAAGATACTGAGAGTGTGACTGGACGTGCTGTCTCATTGGAGTACCTTTAATTTCCTAGAGAAACATGGGGCGGGGGGGGAATAGCAGAGCTCTGGTTCTCAGGGTACTATTTGTGTTTGGGGCTGCCTGGTGAGGCCACACCACCCTAAAGGCACTCTGAAAAGATACCCATCCTCTTCAAGTTTCTCCTCTCTTCTTTAATTAAAAGGAAAAAACCTTCAATTAGCAAAAATTGTAAAATCAGACCTTACAGAAAATAGTGAAAAGTGTGCCATCCAGTTGTTTCCAACACAAAGCAACCCTATATGGGGTTTCTGAGGTGAGTTTGAACCACCGACCTTGTGTTTGCTGTCCAGTGCTTATCCTCCAGCATAAGTCTTCTTTTATTCCCTCATTTTCTCTTCAAGATCATAAAACTGTGACTTTTTTCAAGTCCGCTTTTTAACTTGAGTTTCAGATCCCTGATAGCAGTTGTAATTTTAGTAACTGGTTTGAGAACGTGTCTCTCTACAAAAAGGCTACTAAGAATTCAGTAATTTTAAAGACAAGTTATTATGAACCCCAACAGTACCCAGATACTCTCAGAAAGGTACACCCACAGATGTGTGGGAGTTGCTGCCATCTTCTGAAACTGTGTGCATGTTGCTGTGCAGTAGCATACACTCCCAGGAAGGTTCGGGTGTGGGCGGATTAAACCCTTCGCAGACTGGGCCTGGAATTGCAACACTTTTAAGGCGTGAACATGAGTGTTTTCCTGCCTTTGCCAAGCATTAGTGGGTAAAGGCTGTGAGGGTAGACCCTGTTTAAGGAAGTGTCTGCTGATACGTGGGTGAATTGCTGAAGCTCATTATTAGGATGAACTTTTTCCTGTTCTAGTAGCTCCTGTACCAAACCCAGTGCACTGCTTGTTTCTCCTCCTTTGCTCCAGGATTCCCTGCACTGGCGCTGTTTAGATAGAGAGGGTTGGCATGGTGGTTGTTGTTGTGAAGTGCCATTGAGTAGGTTCCGACGCAGAGCAACCCTGTATAGGGTTTCCGAGGAGCAACTGGTGAGCTTGAACTGCTGACCTTGCAGTTCAAACGGCTTTGCAGTCTGACGCATTAACCCACAGCGCCACACCAGGTAGCAGGGCTTAAACCTTCAGCTTATTCTGCCACAAAATGATCCTGCTGTTCTCTGACATACTCATTTCAAATGAATATTAATACACACACCTTAGTATGGGAGTGTTTATGGGGTACCAGCCTGACTTGCCCTTCTCTTGTGTGTTAGATTTGAGAGCACTGTGCAGGTGGGCAAATTGCAAGACCTCATCAACCGCAGCAAAATGGCCAGATGCAGAGGACGCTTTGTATGTCCTGTAATCCTATTCAAGGGCAAGGTAAGATCTACACTGTGTCCTCACTCTCGGAGCCTGTGTTCTAGGGTCATTGGACTGCAGTACAAAGTATAGTGTTTTAATGTTCTTTGTGTTTGCCCATGAGACTCGGGTGCTGCTTTGCACCTGGTGCTATGGGAAGCAGGCCATCAAAGATGATGATTTCTGACACCACCGTAAAGGATGAGACTAAGTAGGGAAGGGAAGTTCCACCAGGGTTACCCCTCCTTGTGTTCTGGAACCAACTACCTAGGTTAATTTTTTCTGACTGTGTGACATTGGGCCTCAGTTTTCTCCTCTATACAACGGGAATGATTATGCTTACATCAAAGGTTTATGGTGTGGATTAAGAGTTAATACATTATAGGTTGTTTGTTCTTTTAGTCATATAACTCGCCAAGGATTTATTGAGTGTTTACTATGTACCAAGTCCTATTTCAGACTTGGACATGCATCTGTGTATAAAGCAGACTAAAATTCTTACCCTCGTGGAACTTACAGTGATTGTTTTTCACTTGTGCTTGTCAGTAAGGTTTTATTTCTTATCTTAAAATCTTTTGGTGTAAGTAACGTTCCCATTTTGCAGATGAAACAAAGAATGTGAAATAACATCTCCAAGTTCACAATTAGAAAGCCTAAGTTATCCACTCAACACACTCAGCATTGTTTTTTTAAATGAGTCGGTTCCAACACATAGGGACCCTTTATAGGGTTTCTGAGGTGAGCTCATGAGCTTGAACCACTGACCTTGTGGCTGAAACCAACTTTACAGTCCAGCGCATTAACCCACAGTGCCACACCAGGGCTCCACTGTCAGCATGGTGGTGGTGGTGATGTGCCGTGGAGTTGTTTCCAACTCAGTGACCCTGTACAGGGTTTCCAAGGCTGTAAATCTTTAAGGGAGCAGAAAGCCTCATCTTTCTCCCATGGAACAGCTGGTAGTTTCGAACTGCTGACCTTGCGGTTCGCAGCCTGCTTCATAACCACTACGCTACCAGAGATCCTTACTGTCAGCATAGCACTCTGTATTTTCGGATCACATGATGTAGTTTTAACAGTAAGAGTCGCCACCAAAGAAGGACAGTAGTAGTGAGAGACGAGTGGCATTACAGAAAGAACAGGACTAGGTGTGAATGCCTTGGAGGACAAGTAAACCGTTAGTTGTCAGGAAGGGGCAGGGGGCATGGTGGCAGGAAGGAGCCAAGCTAGGACTGTGTTGGGCATCCCCTGCAATGAAGACCCAGGCTGGAATTGAGGGTAGCAGAGAAGAAATGGTGGTGGTGGTGGTGATGTGCTGTGGAGTCAGAACTGACTCATAGCGACCCTGTACAGGGTTTCTGAGGCTATAAATCTTTACAGGAGCAGAAAGCCTCATCATTCTCCCATGGAACACCTGGTAGTTTCGAACTGCTGACCTTTTGGTTCTCAGCCCAATTCGTAACCACTATACTACCAGGAGGAGGTTAAAAGCCAGCTGAGGTATATGTGTGTGCCAGAAGAGTCACTGTACCTTTTGAGCAGGTACATAGGAAGGTAGATTTGTTGGCAAGGTTAGTCAAGAGGAAGTAGCCTGGAGAGGGGTGGCAAAGATAACGTCCACTTCTTGGGTTACAGACCACCGGGTGCCTGTGGTGGCAGGAACTAGTCGTGATTGCAGAGTTTACAGGTGGCCCAGGACAGCAGGGAGCAGAGATCTGAGAATCGGCTTCAGTCCCCATGTGTGTGTTTTCTTCTGTAAAACGGAGTAAGGGCAACTGGGAAAAGGGAGATAGGTAAGGGACTCAGAAGCTAAAGACTGGCTTGGGCAGACTGGTTTTCGAAAGGAGTGTGTCTTAGAAATGGCTCTCTTAAAGCTGTTTGTTCCCACTTAGCTTTTAGAAAGTGTTCACACTCCTAGAAGTTGCCAGAACTCCAGCTGAAATACTACAGCTACTTGGAGCACAGTGCTTATCATTAAGTGTTAACAGGAAAGAGTCAAACCAGTGTTTCCCAAACTGTGTATAGGATAGTAGTTTAAGGGTATTTGTGGAAAGTTCTGTCAAATAGGAGAAATACTCACAGGATTTGGCTAACCTCCAATCTCCAGAGTCAAAGTGCACTGATAAAGAATAGCACAGAGACACCAAAGTAACTGTTGAATCTGGTGTTTCTCACTCAGTGTTCTGTAGACCATGAGTAACAAATTTGCCTGAATGCATTTGGCCCCTGCCATACTTGACAGCTCAGGCTGCTTGTGCCTTAGTCTC